CCGTCGCCTCCTCGCCGATCCTCTGTCTGGACATCCTCCTCGTCTGGGCGATTGTCCTCTTCTTCTTCCTCCTCCTCTTCCTCCTCTATACGGGCCTGCTCCTCCCGCTTCTCCTCTTCCCCTTGTACCTCCATCCGTACCTGGCCCGTCAGGTCGATCACGGGCTCCCCTTCTTCCGCGGGGCTCAAGAGGTGGCAGCCCACCTTGGTCCCTTCGGGGCTGTGGTTTTCCTTGACGGGCGAAGGTGAGTTGGACTCGTTGCTGACCGGAGAGATATCGCTGCTGGTGTTGTGGTTGTTGGTCACCGGGTTGGAAGGGGAAGTGGGCTTCACTGGCATTTGCCAGGAGAGGATTTTGGGGGCTGATGGCGAGGGAGGAAACTGTCTCCTGGAGAAGAAAGGGGAGATAAAAAGGAGCAGGTGGGCTTATTTGTTTTAAGACAGAGTAGGAAAAAAAATTTCTGGGAGGGACGCTATTCAGTTACTCCAATCCAATCACTGCAATAGGAAGTCATCTCAGGGTCAACTACACACACACACACACACAAATTTCTTTCTACAGCTTCCAGGGAAGGACGTCTTAAGGGCATTCGATCACATTCTAGAATCACATATGTACAAAACTGGAAAAACAAAAGTATACCTACAGATGAAAAGGTATTAAAAACAATATTAGAATGTGCCGAAATGGACAGGTTAATGATGGAAATTAAGGATAAAGAAGAAATCACCCCACCCCAGCCAATTCCCAACCATCCCCTGCCCCGATGACAGCAGATCACACGAGCCATTTGATGGGCTCCGTCCCTCTCCGGGTTCCCCAGGCCCAGCTGGCAAAACCAGGTCTCCAGTGCCTTCTGGAAGAGTATTAGACAGGGGGCCAGTCTAATCTCTGGGAAAGGATATTCCAGAGAGAGGGAGCCACCACGGAGGAGGCCCTTCTTCTGGGTCCCACCAGGTGTATCTCCCTCAGGGGTGGGAGCCGCAACATTCCCTACCTCCCTGCTCTAATGGGTCGGGTACATGTGACCAGCAAGAGATTGCTGCACATCAGTTTTACTCACTAGCGCTGACATAGAAGGTAAGTTTTTAAGCTTAAAATGGGCAATTTTTGAACGCTGCACGCATGCGCAAAGCACACATTAGAAGACGCGCACGCTCAACAAACTGGTTGTTAAAGTGGTTGCGTCCCGCCACTGTATTAGTGTAGCTCTTCTCTTGCAGTGAGTGGTTCTGGATCCCTGCTGGAGGCCCCGTGGTGGGCTCACGTTACAAGACAGGATTCATCTAACTGACCTTGGAGCGGTTCTATTCTTCAAGCAGGAATATTTATTTTTCTTGCTCCGGGATTCCCTGGAATATCTGGGCATCACCCCAAAGCCGTCCCCATGTCAGAATACTCTCCCCCCCCCTCCCCCCTGCTTGACCCCTGAGCCCCTCCTGATCCCTCTCCCAAGAACCCCCCCCCCCCCCCCATCCTCCGCCTGCGGAGAAGCAACGGCCACCCCCCATCATTCACCAGTGTCGTCAATGCTATCAGAAATTCAATTTAGAGACTTTTTTCTTTGCATCCCGTGACACGGGCTCCTGGCATGACAGCGAGGGAGGGCCAGGAGCCCTCTGTTTATTTATTTTAAGAAAATATATTTTCCAAGAGCACTTATCTCCCCGGCTGCATTAGCACAACAGCGCACACATCCCCCGGTCCCACTAAACAATAAATGAATTTCTCCTTAATGACAAGATGTCCTCCCGCGGACACACAGATACAGCACGGCTGCCCTTGTGCTAGCTCGCCTGGACGCTTCCAGCAAGGACTGAATATTGAAATGGGGGGGGGGGGGGGTTTTGGGGGGGGGGGGGGGGGGGGGGGGGTTGTCTCAGGGGCCCCCCTCTTCTCCCCACAGCTCATCAGCGCCATCATCTTCCCCTCTGAGGGAGTCGGTGTGATAGAAGAATTTGGCAAATAACAAAGGACCCCTTTTCTGCCCTCCCCCTAATACTATGGTGTCCCGAACCCCTTGGAGGTGCTACTTTCATTTTCAGCCTTGCCGTTAAACGTATTAAACCGTTTTAAGAAACCGCACTGCAGTTTTTTCAGTGTGTCAGGTGTTCCTTCCACAGCAAAATGCACCTCGGATGCGGAAAAAAAGAAAAAAAATTGAGACAAGCCACAAGTGAAGCACCTCCATATTTGGACACGAGTCCTGGTCCTCCACGGCTCCCACTGTCAGCCTGGGATTCACTCTTGGGACATGATGGGAGCAAATCTCATTCATTACTTTAATTAGAGGGAAACTGTGAGTGGAGGGGTCCCTGAGGATCATCTACTCTAGCCTAAACTGCCAGTTGATTAAATCGAGTGCTGTCACATTCACTGGTTCTGCTGGCCTCCTTGTTCCTTGCTGGGCCTACTGGTATCTATGGGTCGTTCCCATTGCTTAAATTCCTTTGCAAGGTGGCTGTCCCCACGTCTTGGGGCACAGAGTTCCGTGGGCGGATTCTGTGCCCTGGACAGGAGCCCTCGCTCGTGTCAAACTAGAAGGTTCCTTCAGTGAAAAACAACCTTATTCAGTTCTCCTGACAGCTAGAACAATTTAATCAGGGGAACAACCCGCCTCCAGAAGTTGTAGATGCTCCAGCACTGGAGGTTTCTAAGCAGAGATTGGACAACCATTTGTCTGAAAGGGTATATAGTTTCCAGCCCGAGAAGGGGGTTGGACTAGAAGACCTCCAAGGTCCCTTCCAATGCTGTTATTCTATTCTATTCTATTCTATTCTATTCTATTCTATTCTATTCTATTCTATTCTATTCTATTCTATTCTGTGTTGTTCTGTTCTATTCTCTTTCTATTCTCTTATCTATTATTTTGTTCTATTCTGTCTATATTCTATTCTATTCTATTCTATTCTATTCTATTCTATTCTATTCTATTCTATTCTATTCTATTCTATTCTATTCTATTCTATTCTATTCCATTCCATTCTATTCCATTCCATTCCATTCCATTCCATTCTATTCTTCAGTCCTCTTTCTGTTCTGTTCTGTTCTGTTCCGTTCCCCTCCGCTCCGCTCCATTCCATTCCTATTATAAGGCAACTACTTTTGTACATCTGTGTTGTGACCTGCATCTAATTTGTTTTAAAGCTGTTCCATTTCCAAAGGACAGACCATTTTAATTTCACCTCCTGAGGATTCTAGGAGGACCCCCAAAGCTGAATATATATCTAAAATAACCGGATGCATAAATGACCCCGAGAGCCTCTCGTAAACTGCGTAAAGCCGCTGAATCGGTAGCCCCCCAAAAACCGAATGGTGGATGAAAGGGCAGCCCCAGTGGCTGCTGTGAAGAGGTTGTGTGGAAGGATACAGAGGAGAGAAACACGCAGACGGTCGAAAGGAGTCTCTGAATTGCGTTTTCAAAGGTTGAAGCCAGAGGAATTTGTGCTTTGTTTTAGCTAGGCTGAGATGTGGCTCCATTACCTGGTCCTCATTTTCGCAGGCAACAAAATTTCATTTTAATGTGTGCTGATTTAGTGTACGTTCAAAGTGACAATAAAAGTTATTCCAAAAGGTCCTTTAATTTCCTACCTGTTCAGGAGAAGCCCTTTTAACGAGTAGATCTCCGACTTCAGCTCACTGATACTCTGAGATTCCAAAATCCAGTTGGTCGATGTAGTGGCCTAAGAGGCAAAATAGTGGCTGGAGTCAAAACTCAGGTGTTGCGTAATTCTACGTACCTCTGGACCTCCGATCTACCCATCAACCACACCAGCTCATTAGAATCTCAAGGTCCAGAACAGTTTAAGTAATGACAACTAAGATGGAGGCAAAAATGTATGAAGAACAGTTGCAGGATTTGGGTTTGGCTAGTCCAAAGGAAAGAAGAATTAGGGATGACGTGGTAGCAATCTTCCAGTAATGGAGAGGTTGCACCAGAGGGCAGGACAAGAAATAATAGATGGAAACTAATCCAGGAGAGAAGCAACCTAGAATTAAAGAAATTTCCTGATAGTTAGAACAATTTAACCAGTGGAACCGCTTGCTTCCAGAAATCATGGGTGCTCCACCACTGGATGTTTTTCAGAAGAGTCTAGGCAAAGGCCGTCAAATTTGGCAAGTTTAAGACGTGTGGACTTCAACTCCCAGAAATTCCTGAGCTGACATGACTGGAGGAAGAATTCTGGGAGTTGAAGTCCACAAGTCCTAAAGCTGCCAAGTTTGAAGACCCCCTTGTATCGGGTCTCCTGCGTAAGCAGGGGGACTAGAGGACCTCCAAGGTCCCTTCCATGTTAGGGTTTGCAGCAGAAATTCAAGTCCAGAAAACACACCGGTGACGGATTCAGCAGGATCATGAACTTCTTTATCAACATAATAACACGAGTAAAGATTACACAGTACTGTTTGTCGATTCTTTCAACGTAGCATAAGCAAAAATACAAGCAGCGGCTCAGAGGGCTCAGAAGAGAGATCGGTTTCAGCAAGCAAGCAAGTCTTCAATTCTCAGCAAAGCACACAGAGCCAAGCCACACCCAGGCGGTCCGCTCCCATTGGCTGGTCTGCTGCCACGCTTACTCACTTGCTGACTTTGTTAACCATGTCTCTGCCAGTTAATGAATCTACTCTGACATTCCAGCTCATTCTATTCTGTTCTAATCAAGGAGAGAAGCAATCTTGGAAGGAAGGAGAAACTTCCTAACGGTGATGACAACTAAGCAGTGGAACTACTTGCCACCAGAGGCTGTGGGCGCTCCATCTCTGGAGGCTTCTAAGAAGAGAACCGGACAATCACTTGTCTGGAATGGTGTAGGGTCTCCAGCTTGGACCAGAGAACCTCTTGAGGCCCAGTTCTATTCTGATTGGCCACTTTGCAGGAGAGCTGATCCAGCAGAGATCACTTCTGCCCCGTTGTCCTGGGGCAGGGTGGTGTGGTGGTTTCAGCTGCCAGACTCGATGCGACGGGGGGGGGGGGGAGGCCTGAATTAGCAGGAGGTGCCACGGGAGGCAGGGCACATCCGCCTGAAAAAAAAGCACCCAGCTCAGAACAAATGGAATTGGGATTTCCAAGCAGGGCTTCCACTTTGCGGGTTGCCGCTTGTAAGGTTTAAACAGCTGGGCTCCAAGGTCTGGCGTTGACACAGCTGGCAAAGCAGGCCCAGATGTGGTTCCCCAGGGAATGCCAGCTCTCCCCACTCCAAGCCACCGTTTTGGCTCTCCCGGCGCTTTGAAAGCCTACTAAAGTACATGAAGGGGAGAGAGCTTTCCGACCGGCTGGCTTGCCAAGGCACATCTGCTGCCAGATGCAGAGGATTTCAGAAAGAAAGCCTGAACATCTGGGGCTTTTTAAAGACAGCCTCTTTTAAACATACAGGGAAACCAACCCAGCAGACACACACACACACACACTGAGTGGAAAATGTATGTCTGGAGCCCGGCGTTCACCCCTTCTCCTTCACCTCCCCCCTTTAAAAAACAAAAAACAAAACTGGGTGTAGATTTCTTTTAATTGCTTCAAGCCTCTCTCTCTCTCTCTCTCTTTTTAATGCTTACAACCTGCCGCTAATAAGCGGATAGAAAAACTTAACACTGCAGCTGAGAAAACTCTTATTTTCCCCGTTTGTTTTTGACTCTGCAGTTGATGAGTTCAGCCAAGTCTCTTCCTCAATTTCTCTCTCTCTCTCTCTGTAGAAAGTTTTTGATCGGTAGGGCAGAGTGCTGCTATATTAAGATGTGTGTGTTTGTGTATTTAAAAAAATAATACTGGGGAGGGGGGCAGTCTTTTGAACTTTTCCCCATCCTTGAAGCCCCCCTGCCTTTTCCTTAAAGCATGACATGTGCTCTTAATAGTAATCCTTTAGACCAAAATCCTGTTTCCTGCCTGGCTGCAGGCCACCCAAGACAGCTAAGAGGGCATGAAATGAAACACGAATGGGGTGGTGGTGGTTTCCTGGCTTGTGGTGTACCCCCATCTGCCCCACGGACCGTCTCCTAAACGATGGAGGTAAGGCAGGGGTCAGCAACCCGCTGTCAGGATCCCAGCAGTTATCCCCATTTAAATCATGAGTCTCTAGCCAAACTTCCAAAACTTAAAGATGATTTATTTATTAAGATTTATTAAACATGTCCGGCACTGCCTTGGTGTAGCCGACTCTGAGGCACATAATTCATTGTCACCCTTGGCCCAGAATTTCCCCCGCCCCTGGTGTATCATCATTCATATTCTCCAATGGGACAACCCCATAGCCCAGAGTCAACCATCATGTTCTCCAGTTAGAATGTTACCCGTTAGAAACTTCGGTCACCTAGTTGCTATCTTTGAAAACATTTATGGAATGCAGTTTCAGGTTGCAAGCTGTCGCACTGCTCTTTCAAACCCCTTTCCCCCCACTCCCTTTCTGTTGGCAACTCTAAAAGACCATAGAAATATTTTATGACTCGACACCTGTGGGCTCTGGAGCCGCATGGGGCTCTTTCAGCCCTCTGCTAGGGCTTCCCTGTCACCGGTCGGCTCCACAATTCGTAGGGCTTTTCAGTTAGGACAGGTAGAGGAAAAAGGACGCCGTGCTAGGAGGAGACTCTATGGTTGGGGGGAACTGCCATAGAGTCTGGTCAGCTCCAGAATCCAGAAGGTCCTCTGGTTAGGACCTTTGTGGCTCTGTGAGTGTTTAAGGTTGCCGACTCCTGAGGTAAGGGGACCACTTGAGTCATTTTTTGGCCGTTTCTCCATTAAAACCCATTCACCGATCCCTTGATTTTTTTTTCCAGTGAGCTAGACTGCTATTGAACATGGAGGCTCCGCTCAGCCTTTCTGGTACAGGGCTGTCAA